GAAGCCATGGAGTCGGAGGCGGAGGGGTCGAGCAACGTGTCCTGGTGAGGTATGCAGATGGCTGGGGTGGGCGGCGGAGATAGGGTGGGGTATTACAATTTCGGAGTAAGAGAGAATGTAGTGGAAGAGCCTCCTCTTTAGTGATGGCAGCGGCGAGTTGTCTGGTCTGCCGTTGCTCCTTCTGTTTTTGCTAACAGCTTTCCGCCGCACAGACCCTGGCCTAGCGCGTCCTATCAAGTCGCGTTGGAGCTGTCTGGAACCTCTACATCTCCAGCTCCCCCAGCTTCCTCCATCCATTGAGCTTTGTTTTCTCATGGTATCGCTGTTTCTTCATCTCCTTTCTGTCATGCAAGCTTCTGACAAGATGGCTTCCCTCTGCGTTACCTCCGGGCATGCACATGGCATCACTGCCAGCCACCGCGGCCTCGTCTCCTAGCTACCTGAAGAGCTGTCACCTACTTCAGATGACGGCATTTGACACACTACTTCCTCCATAGGGCTTTTCTTCGGTCTCTCTACGAAGCAGCTTCAATGCTCGAGCTCAAGAACCTCTGCCAGCTCGCACAGTCGATCTCCAGCGCAGTCTACCGACGCACCAGGTCAGGCTCTACGACCACTAGCCAACAGAAACACCGAAAGGAGAGTCCCCACCGAAGGCTTTCCGCGCTGCTACGTGCTCGTGCAGCGTTTGCTTCTCGAGTTTGCCGCGCTCGTTTGCCATTGGTCGGTGAACCGGCTTACCTAACTTTTGGACCCTAATTTTTGGACCCACTAAAAAAGTTGAAATCCCACCTTCTTCTATCGAGCGGCGCTCTTTTTCACAACTGTAAATATCAAAGGTCTTCGCTGCCCCGCGATAGATCACCACAGCCTTGCTTTCTACACAACCACACCGTGAGAGCATCGCCATGGACGAGCAACAGTTTGTCCAGCTGCTCGAGGGCCTCATGGAGCGTATGTTACCCAACCCCGCTCTACCACAGAACCTGGACTGACTTTCTCCAGCCGACACCGAGCGTGTCAAATCCGCTACCTCTACCCTCAACAAGAACTACTACAACTCCCCCGCCTCTCTCAATGCCCTCCTTCAGATCCTCTGCGGCCACCCCAAGCCTCAACTCCGCCAACTGGCGGCCGTCGAGGCTAGGAAGCTGGTGACGAAGCACTGGGCCAACCTGCCTGCGGACCAGAAGAACTCTCTTCGCAACCAGCTGTTCCAGTTCACACTAAACGAGGACGTGACTCTCACACGGCACTCTGCTGCCCGCGTCATCTCGGCTATCGCGTCGCAAGACTTCGAAGATGGCGAGTGGGCTGACCTACCCGGCTACCTCCAGCAGGCTGCCACCAGCAACGAGGCGCGCCACCGTGAAGTCGGTACCTACATCATCTTCACCACGCTTGAGTCAGCGGGCGACTCGTTCCCCGGCAAGCAAGCCGATCTGTACAAGCTGTTCAGCTCCACCATCCAAGACCCCCAGAGCGTTGAAGTCAGGATCAACACCATGCTTGGTCTCAGCCGCTTAGCCATGCTGCTTGAGCCTGACGAGAGCCCCAAGGAGCTTGCTCTGTTCCAGGAGTCTATTCCTGGCATGGTCAACGTTCTGAAGACTACTGTCGATGAGGGTGACGAGGACCGCGCCATGCAAGCTTTCGAGGTCTTCCAGACTCTTCTTGGCTGCGAGTCCGCGCTTCTCGCAAAGCACTTTGGCGATCTCGTCCGCTTCATGCTCGAGCTTGCGTCAAGCACCAACGTCGAAGACGACTACCGTTCCCAGGCGCTCGCATTCCTCATGCAATGCGTTCGCTACAGGAAGCTCAAGGTGCAGGGTCTGAGGATTGGTGAGGAGATGACCCTGAAGGCTCTCCACATCGTCACCGAGCTCGGTGACCTCTCCAGCGAGGAGGAGGATGTCACTCCTGCCCGTTCCGCTCTTGGACTCCTCGATATCCTTGCCTCAAGCCTACCTCCCAGCCAAGTTGTCATTCCCCTTCTCAAGAACCTTGGCAACTACTTCCAGTCGCAGAACCCCGACTACCGTCAAGCCGGTATTCTGGCTCTTGGCATGTGTGTCGAGGGCGCGCCTGACTTCATTGCTACCCAGCTCAACGAGATCATGCCCATGGTCCTGCACTTGTTGGAGGACCCTGAGCTCAAGGTCCGAGCTGCCGCTCTCAACGGTGTCGCTCGCTTGGCTGATGACCTGGCCGAGGACGTTGGCAAGGAGCACGCCCGCCTGATCCCCGCCATGATCAAGAACTTCGACCTCGCCGCCAACAACATGCAGGGTTCGGATGACGAGCGCAACCTTTCTATTGTCCGTGGTAGCTGCCATGCTATCGATTCTCTCATCGAGGGTCTCGAGCCAGAGGACGCTGGCAAGTACGTACCTGAACTCATCCCACGCTTCAGCAAGCTCTTCCACCACGAAGACCTCAAGGTGAAGAGCGCAGCTATCGGTGCCGTTGGCTCCATCGCCTCTGCCGCTGAGACGGCCTTCATCCCCTTCTTCGCCCAGACCATGCAAGAGCTTTCGCCATACGTAAGGATCAAGGACAGCCAAGACGAGCTCGATCTCCGCGGTGTCACTTGCGATTCCATGGCCAAGATTGCGTCCGCTGTCGGCCCTGAGCCTTTCGAGCCATACGTTATGCCACTAATGGAGGCCTCCGAGGAAGCTCTGCACTTGGACCACCCCCGTCTCAGGGAGACCAGCTACATCCTTTGGAGTGTCCTGGCCAAGGTCTACGAGGAGGGTTTCGCTAAGTACCTTGCCGGCATCGTCAAGGGACTCAACGACTGCCTTGAGCAGGAGGAGACCAACCTTGATCTCGAGTTCGGTGAGGAGGCGGCAGACCTTGCCGGCCAAGAAGTTACCATCCAGGGCCAGAAGATCAAGGTCGCAGCTGCTAGCGATGACGACGACGATGACAGCGACCTGAACGAAGCTCTCATGGCCGGCGATGACGACGATGACTGGGATGACCTTGAGGGCGTCAGCGCGGTTGCCATGGAGAAGGAGATCGCGGCTGAAGTCTTCGGAGACATCATCACCCACACCCGCCGTGAATTCATCCCTTACATGGAGTCGACTGTCACCAAGCTGCTCGAACTTGTTGACCACTCCTACGAGGGTATTCGCAAGGCTGCTATCAGTACGCTCTGGCGCACCTTTGCCTGCCTCTTCGGCATGGCCGAGGGCGATGGTATGGGCAAGTGGCAGCCTGGTCTTCCTCTGAAGGTGGACATTCCCGATGAGCTGAAGAAGCTGGGTAACCTCGTCATGACTGCCACGATGACAATCTGGCAAGACGAGATGGACCGGTAAGTGCCTTCAACTTTCTTTCCTGACACACGTTGCAAAGATGACACAACTGTCGTTAATCCCAGCTCACTCCGATGCCAAAGTGCACTTGAGGTGAAAGCGAAATCACGACTGAGCAACTCCCAACTCTACTACATATACACGATGTATACCTGAGAATCTGGCTAACGTTCTCCAGTGGCACTGTCACCGACATCAACCGTGATGTCGCGGCTACGCTCAAGGTCTGCGGACCGGCTATCTTGTTGACCGACAACGGCACCGTTGTACCTGATCTTTGCCAGCACCTGCTTGCTGTCATCACCAAGCGTCACCCTTGCCAGCAAGATCTCGGCGACGAGGCTGAGGAGGAGATCATGGATGAATCCTCCGAGTACGACTGGCTCGTGATTGAGACAGCCCTTGAGGCCGTCACCTGCCTCTCTGTCGCACTTGGCGAGCAGTTCGCTGAACTGTGGAAAATGTTCGAAAAGCCAATCGTCAAGTACGCCAGCAGCCAGGAATCCACTGAGCGCAGCGCTGCCGTTGGCGCCATTGCTGAGTGTGTCGGCAACATGGGTGCCGCCTGCACTCCCTACACCACTAGCATGTTGAAGCTCTTCCTCCACCGCCTCTCAGATGAGGACCCAGAGACCAAGTCCAACGCTGTCTACGGTATTGGCCTCCTGTGCGAGAAGACGACGAATGACGACGAGATCCTCAAGTCATTGCCTACCATCTTCTCCAAGCTCGAGCCTCTGCTCGATGCTCAGGACCAAGCACGTCTTCTTGACAACACGGCTGGATGCGTCAGCCGGTTCATCGCGAAACACCCCAGCAAGCTTCCCATTGCCGAGGTACTGCCCCGCTTGGTGCAGCTCCTGCCTCTGCGCGAGGACTACGAGGAGAACAAGCCTGTGTTCGGCATGATTGTCAAGCTCTACCAACTCAACGAGCCCACGGTGCAGCAGCTCACGTCTACGCTGATGCCCGTGTTCGAGAAGGTTCTCGGCCCGCCTGAGGACCAGCTCGAGGACGAGACGCGCTCGCAGCTTGTTGAGCTGGTGCAGCATCTGCGCAAGTAGGAAGGTTTCGTTTTGCTAAAAGAGAGGGATACCCGTCGAAAGACACACGTGATGGATTTAGGCATGGGATGGTGGGATGGGATATAGATACGGATTTACGATACCATGCAATGAATGAATGTTCAATATAGAGACTGCACTGAACTTGAACGTGTTGAAAAGTGACAATCTTGTGTTGGGTGGCTGAGACGCGTGACAAGGGGCCCATGCTTCCTGTTCCTGGGCCGGCGCGCGCCATTTATCCAAGCTGGAGCAGTGACGTCTGCACCCCAGACACTTGCGGCTGCCTGTGCGCCCACGCCTCACAACAACTCCTGCATTCTCCACAGCGAGCGGTTCCTTTACAACGCCATCCCATTCCGTGCGCATTCATTCACTAGCTTCATGACTACGCGCGAGTGCTAGACGCTGCTGGATCGCGTTCGCCTCGTACATAGCTTCCGACAGCTTCGCCCGCCACCTCGGCTCGAACGTGTAGTCCTCACCACCCACCGTCCACCATCGCCCTTACATCGTCCGTTCCTTCGCACTCTTCCATATCCAGTCGCATATAGCTCTTCTTACGATATCGCATCGCGACCGGCCCCAGCGCCCAGGCGCATCGCATAAGATGGTGCAGCCAAGCACGCGAGGATGGAAGGCCATGACGTTTGGCCTGCTCTCCATCCTCACCGGATCAGCTCTCGCAGGGCCAGACCTGACGTCCAAACACGAGAAGGGAAGATGCGCGATCCGCGGGCAATGCGGGAAGCAGAGCTTCTTCGGGTCAGAGCTGCCCTGCCCTGACAACGGCCCGGCCAAGACGCCGGACAGCGATGTGCGGAAGAAGCTGGTCGACATCTGCGGCAGTCAGTGGTCAGACACCGACATTTGCTGCGACGAAGACCAACTCGACGCCCTCAAGACGAACCTCGACCGCGCCACGCCCATCATCAACGCCTGCCCTGCCTGCAAAGAGAACTTCTACAACCTCTTCTGCACATTCACCTGCTCTCCCGACCAATCCACCTTCATCAACGTCACGCGAACCGAGCCCAAAGGAGACAAGTACCTGGTCACCGAACTAGACAACCTGGTATCTGACAAGTACGCGTCAACCTTCTACGACAGCTGTAAGGATGTCAAGTTCGGTGCGACAAACGGCAAGGCTATGGACTTTATTGGAGGTGGCGCAAAGAACTATACACAATTCCTGAAGTTTCTGGGCGACAAGAAGTTTCTGGGTTCGCCCTTCCAAATCAACTTTCCTCGGCCCAGCGAAGACGAGTTCCCTGGAATGGATGCCATGAACAAACACGCCTACCCATGCGACACTGACGACGAGAAGTATCGTTGCGCCTGCCTCGACTGTGGTGGATCATGCACTGAACTGCCAGAAGTGCAAGAGGAGAAGCAATGCCACGTCGGTCTGCTGCCCTGCCTATCCTTCGCTGTCATCATCATCTACTCCTTCTTCCTCGGCTTGCTCTGCACTGCTGTCGCAGGACACGTTGCTTACAAGAATCACTCGAAACACAAGACCGAGCGTATGCGCCTGTTGCAGGACACGAGCCCTAGCGACGATGAGGACGAGGGCGATATCGTACACAACGTTGGCATGCTGGATCGCCCCACTAAGCACTACTTCATCAATACGTGGTGCGATCGCATGTTCAGCCGTCTCGGTTACATCTGCGCTCGCTTCCCTGCCATTACCATCGTCACCAGCGTCATTGTGGTTGGCCTGATGAGCTTGGGATGGTTGCGCTTCCAGATCGAGACCGACCCTGTCAATCTATGGGTCTCTCCTGATTCCGCTGCCGCGCAAGAGAAGACCTTCTTCGATGAGAAATTCGGCCCCTTCTTCCGTGCTGAACAGGCTTTCCTTGTCAACGATACCCACGGACAAGCCGGACCCGTTCTCAGTTACGAGACTTTGGATTGGTGGTTTGGCGTTGAGAACCAGATCCAGCGTCTTAAGTCTTACGAGCACGGCGTCACTCTCGACAAGGTCTGCTTCAAGCCAGTAGGCGACGACTGTGTTGTTCAGTCTGTGACTGGATACTTCCAAGGCGACTTTGCCAATGTCTCTCCCGACAGCTGGCAAGACGACCTACTGCAATGTGTCGACAACCCTTCTCAGTGCTTGCCAACCTTCCAGCAGCCGCTCGACCCTCATCTTCTCTTTGGTGGCGTCAACGAGACCGTTCTGGACGCGAAAGCGCTCGTCGTTACATGGGTTGTGCAGAATTTTCCCAAGGGCACCCCAGAAGAACAGCGCGCCATGGACTTTGAGAACGAGATGAAGAACTACCTCAAGTTCGTGTCTGATGAAGCTCACAAGAGAGGTCTCCGACTGAGTTTCAACACTGAGGTCAGTCTTGAGCAGGAGCTGAGCAAGAGCACCAACACGGATGCCAAGATCGTGGTCATCAGCTACATCATCATGTTCCTGTATGCATCCCTGGCTTTGGGCTCTACCACGCTCACCGTAAAATCTGTTCTTCGCAACCCAGCGAACGCATTCGTACAGTCCAAGTTCATGCTCGGTACTGTTGGCATTCTGATTGTGCTCATGTCTGTGTCTGCATCGGTCGGATTGTTCTCGGCAGCAGGTATCAAAGTCACCCTGATCATCGCAGAGGTTATTCCGTTCCTTGTTCTGGCTGTTGGTGTTGACAACATCTTCCTCATTGTACACGAGTTTGAGCGCATCAACATCAGCCACCCCGAAGGCAGCATCCCAGAACGTGTATCACGTGCACTTGGACGCATGGGGCCTTCTATTCTGCTCTCTGCGCTCACAGAGACCACCGCATTCGCTCTTGGGTGTGCCGTAGGGATGCCTGCCGTGCGAAACTTCGCCGCGTACGCTGCAGGCGCTGTCTTCATCAACGCTATCCTCCAAGTCACCATGTTCATTGCTGTTCTAGCTCTGAATCAGCAACGTGTGGAGAACAACCGAGCTGACTGCTTCCCGTGTGTTCGTGTCGGTCGTGCTGATCCCGGATACCTAAACGGCGGCATGGGATACGGCGCTGGTGAGGAAGGCGCACTTCAGCGATTCATCCGCAAGACCTATGCTCCGGCGATATTGGGAAAGAAGACGAAGGTCGGCATCATTGCGCTATTCTTTGGAATCTTCACGGCTGGTCTCGCCCTCTTCCCAAGTGTGGAGCTAGGCCTTGATCAACGCATTGCTATCCCCAGCGATTCTTATCTCATTCCTTACTTCAACGATCTTTACGACTACCTAGATGTCGGCCCGCCAGTCTACTTTGTCACCAAGGAGCTGAACGTTACCGAACGGAAGCCTCAAAAGGAGCTTTGTGGACGCTTCTCCACCTGCGATCGAGAGAGCTTGGCCAACATCATCGAAGCGGAGCGCAAGCGACCTGAGGTCTCGCATCTCGCAGCTTCAGCCGCCAACTGGCTTGATGACTTCTTCCTATGGCTCAACCCCGAGAACGAGAAGTGCTGCGTCGACGACAAAGGCAAGCCGTGTTTCCAGGGTCGTCAACCACCTTGGAACATGACTTTGTCGGGCATGCCCGAAGGCGAGGAGTTCATCCACTATCTCCAACTCTGGATCGACGCACCGACTACAGAAGACTGCCCGCTAGGAGGAAAGGCTGCTTACTCTGACGCTCTAGTCATTGACTCGAAGCACCTCACCATCCCCGCATCACACTTCCGCACTTCGCACACGCCGCTCCGCTCGCAGAGTGACTTCATCTCTGCCTACACGGCCGCACGACGCATTTCGAAAGAAATCTCCAAGGACGTCGACACGGAAGTCTTCCCCTACTCCAAGTTCTACATCTTCTTCGACCAATACACTACCATCGTCCGTCTAGCCGGCGCCCTCATCGGCTCCGCCCTCGCCGCCGTCCTCGTCATCACCACCATCATGCTCGGCTCCCTAGCCACAGGTCTCGTCGTCACCCTTGTGGTCGGCATGACAGTCTCTGCCATCATCGGCTCCATGGCTGTCCTCGGCGTATCCCTCAACGCCGTCTCGCTCGTCAACCTCATCATCTGCGTCGGTATCAGCGTTGAGTTCACAGCGCACATTGCCCGTGCATTCACCTTCCCCAGCCGCGCTACCATGGAGAAGGCACCCAGACACCGCTTCCGCGGTCGTGACGCCCGCGCTTGGACCGCCATGGTTAACGTCGCAAGCAGCGTCATCAGCGGTATTACCATCACTAAGATCCTCGGCGTGGGTGTCTTGGCTTTCACGAGGAGTAAGGTATGTCATATCAAAATCCCCACTTTCCCCTTCCGTTCCCCCTTACTAACAACTCCTCAGATCTTCGAGATATACTACTTCCGCGTTTGGGTCGCCCTCGTTCTTTGGGCTTCAACACACGCTCTTGTTCTCCTCCCCGTTCTCCTATCATTGGTGGGAGGTGGAGGCTACGTCGACCCAGAGAGTGATGGCGGGCTTGAACAGGATCTTAGAAGACGCCAGTACCCTGCGCTACTCGCTGAGGACGACGAGTATGATAGCGATGACTAGGATCATGGTTTCTTGGGGAAGCGTTGGTGTAGTATGTTTTGAAGATGTGGGTTTGGGATGCATGGATGGCGTTTTCCGGTGGGTTTGGCTTTTTCCGATGAGAGAGAGGGAAGGGGGGAATGAAGGAGAGGGATGCGATTGAGAGAGAGGGAGGGGTGATGATGTAATTGTCTCCGTCTTTCCGGCTCTTAAATGTAGGCTGGTATGCATTACGCTATAGGATTAATTTGATCATATATTGTGCAAATGTAAGACATTCATGTTCTCGTTTCAATGTGGAAACACAATTTGCATCTTTGTAGTTGCCTACACCACACCACCCAACCCCTAACGAGAGCTTGACTGCTTGTTGAAGCAAACGTGTTCTAGCTACTATTATAGTGTCTGTCCCCGCAGTTGATCTCCCTGTTTCCATACCTTTTTGTTAAACGCATCGCTAATAGATACTTTGACGTAGACAGGCTGTGTTTTCCACCCGGAATTATACGTCAACCGCGGGATATGTACCAAGAATTAGTACCTATATCATGTTATCTCAAACAGAATGCAAGAGTAAACGCTGCTCGTCGGCGTCTAGCTCACATTCTCTTTAGGTCCAGGGAGAGCATGTTAAGATAAACAGGTTAGTAGCCAACAAAAACAAGATACCAAGTCTCGTTCGGGTTGGCAGATATCATAGACTCTAGCGAATACACATGCCATTCACAATCTCAAACACAAGGCAAAACACTACAACGTCGCCGTTCTAGCTTACATCTCATTCACGCATTCACGTGTAGATGCCTAACTATACCTCTACCTCTAGTTTCCCTTAAAGCCGGACGGATACATATCCGATGCCACCTTCATGTGCATGCGTAACACGACGATGTTACCGTCTAGCTCCTGTACGGACAGGTGTGGTCGAGTTATTCGTGGCGTATACGCGGTATGGTTTCGCGTAGTTTATGCACGAAGCGCAACAAGGTCGCTGTCTGGCGAGTGTATGTGTGTATTTGGGGAAGTGGGGCGTGGTGGATGGGTTGGGTGGTTTTGTATAGTATGTATATCAGGCACTACGATGTCGCTGTGTGGCTTATAGATAATTGTATCTAGTAAAGTATACTGTAGCGGATACGTTGTATAATTCTACGTCGTATGAAGACTAAACACGGTAACGTCGTCGTCTAGCTCATGTGTGCATGTATCCGGTAAGGTGTAGCGTGGCGGATACATCATATCAATCCTCTTCGTATACCTACCAAACGCTGCAACGTCGCCGCCTAGCTTATATCCTATCCACACATTCACACTACACCCTGCTAGATACATGCACATCAACCTCTTTACAATCACATCAAACACAGCAACGTAGCCGTCAGACTCATATATTATCCACTACCAAACCCCCATATTCCATCACTGCATAGGGCAGAACCCCAAGCAAGCGGTAACGAGAGCCTCCGAACAGCTACATTCAGTATCCACATCACATAGATAACAACAGCCGTCAGGGTCGCAGCCTACATACCATCTCTTCTTATCCGGATCACGTGCACGCGCCGGTACGTGAGGAACCACCAGATTAGCCGGGCGCTGGGACGACAATGGCGGCAAAAGAGTGATTTGGTGCGCCGCCGGGACGGGCTGTGCTGTGCGATTCGAAGGAGTTGGCGGTGCTGTTGGCGCTAGTGAAGGTGATGGTGTAGGTACTTCCTCAGTTTCCCTCAACTCTTCACTCCCAGAACGACGCAAACTTTCTGCATACAGACGACTACCATCCTCGTTCATGAGCTCGGTGAACCTCGAATCACCAGACTTGCGGCCTTCAGTGCGATCGGGAGGTGCGAGCGATGAGGCTGAGGACTCATGTAGGCTCCTGGGTCTCTCGTTCGGATCGAGAAGTGTATGGGATGAGCCATTGTGGGCGCCCAGCTGATCTTCTGAGTCAGCTCCACCACGCATGAATATCATGTCGTCTCGAGAGGGCTCTGTTTGGACGTAGTGAGAGTATTGAGGAGCGATGCCTCTATGGCTGAAATACGCTCGTGCAGTTTCTGATGCCGGCAGGCGACCTGGTGTGACTATCCATGCGCGACTTTGACCGTCTCGGGTTCTCGCTATGGTAGACAGCGTAGGGTTTCGTGGGGGAAGGCCATCTCCAAAGTGAAGGTCGTCGGACTCGCTCTCGGAACCGCTGCAGATGTCATAATCGATTGAGCCTGACTGGCTCATCGGGCCTTCGACTTCAACAACTTCAGCATATCTCCGTTGGTCCCTCAATACCACAGCCGACGCTGAAGATAGAAGGCGAAGCTGTTGCAGTGTTGATCTGAGTCGTGAAACCACGGGGGGAACAACTGGAGCCGCAGGCGAATGTTCAACGAGCGTTGTTTGACCACTGTTCAATTGCGATGGGCTAACATATGCTCCTTGCGGGTGCGATGGGTTCACACATGCTCCCGGTGTATGCGGGGTGGCTGACGACGAGAGAGCTTCGACGACAGTTGCTGGACCACTTGCGACTTGCGATGAATTGTCTAAGGATGCTACGAAGTGTGGGGTTGGCGCGAAGCCAGGCGGAGACGTTGCTGCATGTGTTGCTGACAGCTAATCAGTAATCGAGCCGAGAGGCGACATCGAGCTGAGAGGCGACGGATGGTATGCGGTATTGTAGGCGTTGTTGTACTGCACATCCTTCCAGTCTGGCAGAGCCGCAAATTCTGCATCGGACATGAAGGCGGGATGCGAACCTGGCCGCTTGTTGTGAGTGTATTCGACCGGACGCTTCAGCCACAGGCTTGCGACATGCTGTCTCCGATGTCGCTCCTGTAATCGAGTCACCCAGCTTTGCGCTTCTTCCGGCTCTTGCTCTTCTTGCTCTTCCTACGAGCCGACCTCGTCAGCCCAGCTGCGTCCCTTCTCCATGGGCGATGGCAGGCCGAAATCGTCTGTGTCCTTCACCTTCTCCTTCACCTTCTCCTCTGCAGGTGCCTTGCCCTTGGCAGAGGGTAGTTCTGGGAAGTCTGACGCTGAGGGCGGGACGTTGTCGCGCTTTTCCCGAGTGTTTGCCGGCCTCTCATCGGATCCTCGGTAGTCGCCACGGCCACCCCTGCTGCCACGGCCTCTACCTCTGCCTCGTCCGCGGCTAGACTGTCCGGCAGGCTCATGGTAGTCTTCGCCTCCGTTGTGTCCGTTGTCGACCGGTCTCGAGGGTGCGATGCCACCATGCGCGCCACGTGCAGCGCCTCGTCGCTTCTCGTCTCCAGTGCCAGAGAAGCCATCTTCTTTCTCAAAGTCCCACTCCCTGCCCCCTTGCGCATTGAGCTTGCGCTGGCGGTTCTTCTCGCGTTCGCCCATCATCTGTTGGCGACTCTGGCGCTCTGCCTTCTGCTTCTCTGCGAGAGCCTTCTTTCGCTCTATATCCTGCTTCTGCATGACGGCTTCGCGTGCCTCGAAATTGCCCTTGTCGGCCTCGGCGCGAGCATGGGCGCTCTGACGGGCTTCGTTCTTAATGCGCATGTTGGCTAGCTTCGTGTTCAGCTCCTCTTCTGTCAGGCGCGTGCGTGCAGGGCCGCCAGTCAGGCCTCTGTCTCCGCGCACGGCGTGTGTGGTCTTCTCCTTGGGCTCGGTGGGTGCAGAGGGAGGGGCTGAGTTGTCTGCGACATCGGCAGTGGCAGCCGCGGTCGGCGCAGCTTCCTTCGGTGCCTCTGGAGCCTTCTTGCCGTTTTCTTCTAGTCGAATGTCGGTGTTGTGCCCGCCGCGACCTCGTCCACGGCCCCTTCCTCGACCACGGCCGCGACCTCCTCTTTCGGCGTTCCTTGGCTCACGAGGCGCATGGGGTGCGAGGTGCGCTTGCGGTGCGGTCGGCGGTTGTACTTCCTCGGGAACGAACTCGGGGGCGGAAGCTTGTAGCTCGATAGGGTTCTGCTCGACGACTGGCTCGGCGATAGGTGTGATGTCGTCGTCGAAGAAAAGGTCGTCTGTGCTTGCCGTCTGAGCGAATGGATCTATTGACGGGTCGTCGAAGGCGGGGTCGTAGGACGTGTTGTCCATCTGGCGGGAGTTAGTCTTGCATATGAAGCAGAGACCTACTCCAAAAGGAGGAGAGACGTCAGGGGCAAAGAGTGTATAAGTCAACATACCTGTGCTGGCGCTGCTTCTGGTTGAGCGACGGTGACCTCGGGCGCTCCTGTTTGGTCCGTCTCGTCAGGCTGGGTAGCCCATTTTGACTTGAGCATGATGACTAATAACGAGTAGTGCTAGAAATAGTATCTAGAACGAAGTATGGAGTTGGACGTTATTTAGCGATGTTGGGTAGCGATGTGAGGAGTCTTTGGTCGTTGCGGCTGGCCGAATTACTTGCAGGAACCCTGGCACCCAAGTCCGTGCGGCAACACCTCCCCGCACCTGCAGTCTAGACCCGATGGGTCCTTCCCCCACGTCCATGGTTCTGTGACAGCTACTCCAAAGCGTACTCGCTGCTTCTTACATGATCCTGTGTGCACTCGAATCATGGCAATGGCCCCTAAAAACCCATGTGTACAGCTCATACACGGCAGAATTGAACAGGTGTCTTGCAACCTACATCAAGCTCACGAGCAGCGGTTTGCTACATACCAAGGCAATGTAGACTCCAGACATTATTATTATTCTGCTAATCTTGCTACCACTAAAGGAGACCACAACATGAAAATACCTAGCTCTGTGACACATCCCACCAGCCCAGAACGCCGTCGCTAAGTCGTAGAGATGATATACAAGGCCATCCAGCCAATAAAGTTACAAACGCATTAAAAGACAACAAAACTCCGCAAAACAGCTACTCAGGCTCTCCGCTTGAACCAGGCAGGACATCATCAACCCGAACAACAGAAGCAACATACGGATACACCGGAACACCAGACCCATGCGTATACCCATCTTGCCCATCCCCCCAAGACAAGCTCTCCTGCGCAAGCCAAACCCGTCCTCCCTCAGACTCAGACTTTGAACAAAACGTCAAAGCCACGACTCCCTTCCCAGGCTCAAGCGGCGTAGACTCGCGGCTCTGCTGCCGCGAAGAACCCGGTGAGAGTTCCGGTGGATCCGTTGGTTGGTCTTCAAGCCAGCCAAGTACCTTTTGGCTCACGGTTTCTGTGAGCGGGTTGCCGACGTTGTCGAAATCCTGGCCGGCGAAGGTGTACTTGATGATACCGGGGTCTGCGAAGGAGGGGGCGTGGGAAGGGCGTTTTGGGGCGGCGAGACGCATTTCGTGCTCGACGGACGCTAGGGTGCGAGAAGGAATTGGCGGCTTTGTTGATACAGAACCGGAGATGGGGGACTTGTAACCCGTGGAGATGGGAGCGCTGATCTTTGAGATGCCTTCAGCCTTGACTTTCGCAAACAACTCGTCGAGAGCTGATGGAACCGTCAAATCGGCTTCAGTCAAGCCCGTCTCAATCGGCGTGATCACAAAGCCGTTGTCGTCAAAACACTTGCGAACTGGCTTGCCAATCAAGGCATGTGCCCATTCCAATTCATACACCGGCTCCTCCCGATGGAACTCGGCGTCAACAGAAACCCTGTACTTGCAGCGAATCAGCCTCTGGCGCGGCGTCTCCATGTTTTCGTACAGCGCGGCTTCTAGAGCCTTACGTTGGGCGACAACACCGTACGCCTTTTCAAACGCTTTTGCGTTTTCGGTAAGCCATCCCGGGGCGGTGTCTTCTTTTGTGAGGGTGATGGAGACGGGTGGAGTTTGGGCGACTACGATCTTTCCGAAGAGGAATGCTGGGGCGGTTGGGTTGAGCATGCTGACGTGTGTGGTGGTGAGTTTTGGAGGGGAAGGAGAAGTCTTGAGTAGGCTGACTTGTGTGGTGGTGGGTTTTGGAAGAGAACAAGGAGCGGTCTTGGGATAAGATATACTTTTGGGCTCTTGTTCGACTTTGGTTTGGTTGCTGGCTACCTTGGTTGGAGCGTTGTTCTTGGAGCCAGTAGGGACGTCTTCGGATACAACAACGGGCAGATATGTGCAGAGCTGCGGTTGCGATGTAGCGGTCTTGGTACCGGTGGTGGTGTGTGTTCCAGTAAGAGCCTCAACGTTGGTGACGGCCTTCTCTTGGATGGCCAACTCGTCTCGAGAAAGATGGGACGACTCCACGATGACCTGCGCAGAGTCTTTTACCATGGCCGCCGGTCCTTCATTTCCATTAACGTCTCCTTTTACAGGTGCAGCCTTGATGATAACGATGGTAGCGACCGGCGGATACGAAGCCTTGTTCGCGGTAGTCTTCTCGGCGGCGGCGGTGCGCTTCGCCAGCGCCTTCTCTTTCTGTGCCTTCTTGTGGTTCTTCAGGCCCTTGTTCTTCTTGCACGCGACGTCGCCGGTAGCGTCCTTGCGAGGAGCCATGTTTGCGGTTCGTAGTGAGAGTGCGACTAGGTACTGTCAGGGGTGCTTCACATCACCGACGCAAGTCCTGACTTACATATATTAATGACAGTAGTATAAGCGAGAATATGGTACAGTGCACAAGAACAGAGCGAGAACTTCGGTTCAAGACAACTAGGTATACGCAATAAAGCGGGCGATTATACAGGAGAGTCGAACGAATGTAGCGAGCCTCGTCCAGTGCTTTCGGGCTGCGGGCGATGGTGTTGCGCGGGTAAGATAACCTGTGGTGGAGCGCAAGCAGGTTGAGCGTACGCTGGCCGCGGTAAGGTATCGACTACTACGAGTGTCGCGCGCTGTATTAGACACTAGTACCGTGAGAGTGGAAGTGATGTAATATTGTGAACAATGGCGTCCGTGCGTTGAGACAAAGTAAGAGTGAAAGGAATGACAGTGTGACTAAACAGGCATTGTTTGACAATCAAATTGTTCAGAACGGCTCGGTCATCACGTGGAGTTGGCAAAGCCTAAAAATTTGGAAGGAGAAGTATGATGTCGTGAGACAGATGTGGTATAAAGTATCTGTAGGACGGCTACAGCGCTCCGATATTACCACACCGGTCCAATCCAATAAGAATTCCTGGAGTCAAAATGACCTTGACAACGCGTACTACTGACCTGACCTTGGCGAAGATCCTACATCCAGGCTCCGAGCTTTCGTAGAACGTCTGGCGCTACTTCGTCACCTTACTCTAGATAAGCAACAGCACATGCGCCGAAGAAGTCTTGTGGGGTGAGTTACCTTGCACCGCTCGTTGTAAGCAGGTATCTCGAAGATGAGAGCACATGAGCTGTAGGAGTAGTTGATGTCTGCCATATTGCCGTACTGTGTAGATAGTCAGTAGAAGTTCAAGAGCGCGTGCGTAAAACTACTCACCGCAAGGAAGCCGAACTGTAGATTAGTTGTAGTAGCACAATTCAACCATCGAACATGGAGTCTGTCGTGGGGGTATTGGGCGTAGATCTCGCTCCAAGTGTCATCCTCGTCGCCACCAACACTTGACATGACGGGGGCTGAGAGCTTCTTACCGATACGCGCGAATTGTAGGTGCTTTTGGTCGTCATCTTCATCGGTACGGTTCTCCGACCTGTCGTCTTCTTCGTCTTCTTCGTCTTCTCCCGAAGTCAAAAGTACGGGACGAACGCGCGTCTTGATGCCCAGCGAGCGAAATACCTCATATGCCATAAAATCTGAGCCTTTGAGTAGGGCGGGTAGAGCCTTCGAGCCCTCCTTGGTGGCGTGAGCATATGCATGATCGCAGTACTTTCCGAGGTAACCGCCTGGAATGATGTCAGTGATGTTCCCACAGTGATTAAGCTTATCACAAACCTTTGGCCATGAATTCCGGACTGTTCAAAGCGTTCGCCACCTCGCGATAGAGCGGCAGCTGTTTGAAATCCAGCGCGTCGGCGTGTCCTGCAAGCTCGCCAAGACCTCGGCGCACGAAGAGGTTGTATGTAAGGGTTATGCGATGACCCGCAGTGACTTCGAGGACCTCATGCTCACAGTCGCTGTAGAAAGCTGCCCACTGTGCAACGTTGGCGTCGCCAGACCAATCGAACGTAGTGGTATGGCCTTTGTGGCGGACAACGAGCTGGCCTCCTTCGTGAGCGCACGGCAGACAGACGACGAGTGAGCCGAATTGCATCTCGGAACGTGGCGTATCGACGTGTGGCTTGAACAGACCTGACGGTGCTCCGTATACCTGAGTTGACTGTCAGCATGTCTCGATCATTGGAATGGGAGGAAGCGATAAGGCGCGCACATTCAACTTGTAGAGCTCTGCTCGAACACCCTGTGACTGATCCGGAGACAGTGGAAGTAACGCTTGCGCAACAACATCGATGATGCCGGTCTCATAGGGACAGAAGTTGGTGGAGAAGGCAGAGGTGTCGAGCTTGGAGGCCTTGCGATACGACTCGTCGATGATGTCCTTGCCCTTGTATCCGAATCCAGCAGGCTCAGTGCCTTCGAGGAGCTTCGCAAGTGAACCATCCACTTCACCCTTACTGCCGACTTGGAGAGGTAGGATTAATTTTTCGATGGCGCTTGAAGAGTCCCAGCGGATGGTGATCGCCGAGCTAGGGCGGATGTTGGCGTCATCCGGGCTGCTGAGAGAGCCGCCGCACGCGTACGTGGAATGTGTAAGTATATCCTGGAGAGCCTTAACGATAGGCTCAATCGGATTGTTATCAGCCGCCTGAGCGTCGTCGCGGTCGTTGCTAGCCATATCTGCAGTCTGTGTACGTAGAGTTTGTGAGTAAAAGGCAAGAGCGCGTTTTATATGCAAAAGTCGAAAGAGCTTGAAGATGACACGTTATCACGTGTACTCGCGAGTAGTCCAACTTGATTGGGGGGAGGGTTGCCTATCACTAGGCAACAACGCCCTTGTGTTCCCTGTAATCTTCGTCCTATGGTACTGCGGTGACGCTACGAGGACGAGCGACTCACAACTTCCGAAATTCATATGTACCCATTTAATTAGGTCCTCTCGAAAAGAGAACTATGGTCAACACAAGAGCTTGTGTTCCCTGTACCACCTACCCTGTGCGTTGCGCGTGGGAGCGAGACGAAGGAAGTCAACACAAACATATCATTCGACGCAGCAGAAGCAGCTCAAGGCAGCAGTGCGACCTTTCTTTGTCATATGATAACTTGATGTAACGGTCGCAGGTTTGCTGTACTTCCAATGGCCATCGGGGTGAAGCTTGCGCTCTTGTCAGTAAAGTAGCCGGGTATGATAGCGTCTGTCTTCGAATTTATCGCTGAAAGCTAGGATCGACCAGGCTTGATCCGTTTCGAATGGAAGTGAAGAAGGCAGCCGCTTCTGATCGATAGGGTATTTGCGTCCCCGTGTTAAAGGACAGATGATACCAAATTATGTGATGTGAAGTGCAGACGTGAGCATGAGTACGTGTGAATGCCTCGAGATTACATGGCATAGGAAGATTTGGAGGCGTTTACGACAAGGTAGTCTGTAGGGAAACATCGTGCGGGTACGGGAACAATCTCCTCATAGGTACGGTGAACTTCTCTGCCGTGCGATTGTCACGGAATGTGTGTTAGATGGGGCCGGATCGCCAGCGCTGAGCCGTCTCAGAGCATGAAGATGAATTAAGAAGCAGTCGCTACGAAGACAGGTGGACGTGCGAGGAAGATTGTAGACCGCGATGGTTGTGGGTGGGCGTTGGAGTGTTGTGATGACGCGCGCTTACCTTGGAAGGTACGCGGCGACAAGCCCGAGCCTTTCGGACGCTAAACTTCATTGCGACAGGATCGCGCTTACTAAGTATCGCGAACACTTTCTACGCTCTATGCATACCTTCATCTTATTGACTCACCCCGCTGTGTCGACCTTTTGAAATGCCGGATATAACAGCCAACGATGGTATTCATCTGCACTACGAGACATATGGCTCTCCCGGTGCCGCTCCCTTGATCTTGGTGAGCTCCCCGCCATCGAGCGCGTACCGCCACCAGGCCTGACATTGGTCGCTAGCTGCACGGCTTCACGGGTTCAGGCGCAGTCTTCAAGCGCAACGTTGCCGCACTCGCAAAAGCTCATCATGTCATCATTCCCGATTTGCGCGGCCACGGCGACTCCGGTAAACCAAAAGCCGGTTATAACGTGGCACGCCTAGCAATGGATCTCAAGAACTTGATCGAGTTCTTCGGTTTCCGCGACGGTACCATCAAAGCCATAGGCACGAGCCTAGGTGCAGCTATCCTATGGAGCTACAGCGAATTGTTCACGACTGGTGCGTTCTCACACGTGGTTTTCGTGGACCAAGCTCCATTGCAGAATTATCTTGAGGATTGGGGTCCTGAGTTCGGCAATCTCGGATGCAACAATCTAGAAGCACTGAACGCGATGCAAAAGACACTGATTGCAAACCCGAAAGAGGCGCACCTCGGTACTATCGCAGCGTGCCTGGGCTACAGATCCCACCCGCGACCCCGAGACCCTCCGGCGGATTCGGCACAGTGGGAAGATGACGAAGCGTTCTTCCTGGCTGAGGCCCTGAAAGGCGATGGGTGGTGGTATGGGAAGCTCATGGCTGATCATACGGCGAACGATTGGCGACATCCTATCGCTCATGCTTTCGGACCAGAGAGCGGTAGTGAAACTAAGGTGCTGGTTGTCGCAAGTAGCCGAAGTGGATGTTTCCCAGCTGCGGGACCGCTCAAGGTGGTGGAGCTGGTGAATGGAGGCGAAAAGGAAGGATTTGCAAAGGGAGTGACGGTGGACTGGGGTGGCCATTGGTGTTATTGGGAGAAGCCGGAGATGTTCAATGCGCTTGTCATTAACTTTTTTTCGTGAGCGTAATGTACGCTGTGTTGACTTGATGCTGCTGCGACAGAGTAGTTTGTATTATTAGTCATCTCAACGTTCATACCTGATGATCCTATTTCATATCCAAAGGAACGAGAGGGGTAAAGCTTGCACGCAACAAATTTTTCTGCGGGCGTGTCAAACCCTGCAGAGCGCCGCTAATGAGTGGCATATGGACAAAAAGCTGGCGAAAATATACCACAGTGGGGATTGTCAAGCATTCATCCACAGAGCCACTTCTAAACCGCCGGCATCCTGCTTGTATATGGCTGAGCGGCCGTAAAAGACCACTATGTGGGGTTCCCCAGGCTAAAGATGCGGCTCCCGGAGGCTCTGGGGCTAGCGCATCTGAGTTGTGGCTCGTAGCGAGCAGGTCTGCCTCGAGACGAGCATGACTCGCCTCGATCCCCGCAACGCTGTCACGTATATATGCTCAATTGGCCGCATCTTCATCGCATTATCATCGCCCATCTCTTCATTGTGCAAGCAATATACTCTCAGCTTCTTCGTCGCATTGCATAGCTCTCAATCCAAGATCGTGAGTTCCAGAATCGAAGCCCTGATCACCGCAAACCTCATCCAAGAGTTTTGAAGACCTCGGGAGCAAACCACCAAAAATGTCGAACAACATCCTCATCACCGGCGGCGCCGGCTTTCTGGGCCCTATGCTCGCCGCCAAGTTGGCAAAAGACCCTTCAAACAACATCGTCCTGACCGACCTGCGCACACCCCAACGGCCAGCCGGCATCTCAGACTCTGCATCCAACCTAGAGCTCACGGCAGGAGACCTGACTTCACAATCAGACATCGACAAACTCCTCTCCATGCGCCCCCAATGGTCAGCAATCTTCCTTTTCCACGGCATCATGTCCGTCGGCTGCGAAGAGAACCCCGCGCTTTCCACCAAAGTAAACCTAGACGCCACGCTCTCCGTTCTTACATCCATCTCAAAACTTCAACAATCTACCAAACCCCGCATTGTCTACGCTTCCACCCAGGCTGTGTACGGACCGCCTTACACGGCAACAGGACCCATCACAGATGATACGCCCGCGACGCCAATTGGCGTGTACGGCACCCACAAGGCCATAATGGAGAAGCACATCGATGATCTCAATCGCCGCGGTCTAATCGACGCCTTCTCCGTGCGTCTACCGACCGTCGTCGTCCGTCCAGGCGCACCATCGCGATCAGCAGCAGCATTCCTGAGCGGCCTACTCCGCGAGCCACTAGCCGGACTCGAATGCATCGTGCCCATTAGCGACCGATCAGCACGCCAAATGATCTGCTCGCCACGCGTCATGATCGAGAACTTTGTGCGCGTCATGAAGGCCCCATCAGATGCTATGCCCTCGCATATCCGAGCGGTGTATATGCCGGGAATCAGTGTCACGCTTGGAGACATGTACGCGGCGTTCGAGGCGGTAGTTGGAAAGGAGAAGCTGAGCCTGTTGAGAGAGGAGGTGGATGAGGAAGCGAAGAGGTTGTTGGATAGCTGGCCGCAGACTGCGGAGTTTGGGAATGCGACGAGGATGGGGCTATTGTTTGACGAGAGTTGCGAGCAGATATATAGGGAGTATGCTGATAGTTTGAAGGCGTAGGTTTTGAAGTAACATTATATTTTACTTTCAACATCCACATTCCAGATAATCATCGCATGTCGCAAGCACACCGACCGCTTACTCATGCAATAGTCTTGAAATATACGTCCTCCTCGATCCTTTCGACGTCCAAACACCCCAACTTCTCCATATCCACCTCCCACCTCTCCATCTTTTCTTCTCGCGTGCCAGCCAGCAAGTCCTCTTTCTTTCCGTACTGCCACCGTCTAAAGCCCGAAGGCCCACTAACTCGAGCCTTATACGTGCGACCAGCCTTCAGCCCTTCCATACTGCGAATATATTCTTTCTCGTTGCCCAATCTTTCCAAAGTACATTCAAATCGCCACGGTCTGTTCATTGAGATCTCGACAAAGTCACCATCGTCCGGGAACACTGGGTGGGGATCGTAATCGTAGCAGACGAAGACGGCACCCCATTCGACCTTCTCTCCGGTATCATCATCTCGACAATCGATTAGTTGGTCGATACAATGCAGGTCTCCGGAGCAGAAGTTGGTGACCGAGAGTGGGGAGCGTGATTTATCGAACACGAAGGGCTCGGGACTGTCGGTCGTGTATTCGATGACGAAGGTGAAGGGATCTGGACCATTGAGATGAGCTTTGCTGGGCATCTCCAGCCTGGCGAAAAGTTTGGGTGGCGCTTGGTCGTCGTGGACGGTGAAGTAGTATGTGCCGGCTCGCTCACGATGAACGGGCAGCTTCTGCGCTGAGGTGAGGCTTTCAGGATTGCCATCGAACTCATCCGTATAACATGCGATCACTTCGCCAGCTTTCTCAGACAACCGTAAACCGTATGTACGCCCGGGCTGTAAGATGTCTTTCCACACAACATGTGTTGTTTCAGTTGACACACCAATCGACACTTCCCGATACTGTGGAAATGCCGTCGGGGGTATGCTGTACTGGCCTTTCTTAGGTGACGTGAAAGATGGCAGCATGATAACACCTTCATCTTCCTTACCAGATTGCACGAGTTCGAACAGTCCAGACCTTAATGCCTGTAGGACAGTGTTTCGCCCCCTTCCAACAACAGTGAGACCATTGCAAAACAGAGTTATCGGGCGCTCTGTCTCTGGGGTTGTAACTATGAGGTGGCCAAGGCTACGACGTTGTTTGCGGTTCAGCTGGAACGAGTCGTTGGGTTCCAGCTCCTCTGCCTCAAACCGGAGGGATATGATATTGCTACTATCATGACCCGATCTCATCTGTCATATTGAGCGAGTGCTTCTTGATGCGTGTAGCCCAGATTTGGAACAGATTCGAGCGACAGGCGTGTTGGGGTGAAGGTAAGGATTTCGTAGCTGTCGAATGCGATCAACGATTGCGCACCAACAGGTTATATTTGACGGTATCTGTGGCTGATAGAGAGACTGCGCGCTGACAAGTGTGGGATTAGTTTAGGCTTCAGTCTAGATGAGAGGCGCATGCCCTTCTCCTTTGATGCTTCGTCGACGGCGGCACAGCTCTGACGTCACATCAAAACAAGAATCAGAAGGGATGACGCTTGGCGCGTTGCCAAAGGAAGCTCATAACACCGCGCACCCACTTAAGAATCCCTCAAAATTCGCACTTCATGGCAGCATTCCAAGAATACGCATCTTCCTATCTGCTATCGCCACAATGATGGTCATAGCCAGGCTTATTCAAGACCGCGAAGTGTGCCAACCTGGTCTAGACATAGTTCCAGGTTTGATTCAGTACTCCCTGCGCTCTAACTGAACCGACCCCGTTTAGACATGGAGTTATGCGTGCTATGCGATGTGTATCGATGATCACGTTTCTTAGTCCGACGCGTCTTTTGCCGAGCAGTAGGAGGTGGGCTCTCAGAAGATCTTGCTAATCTCCTTCCTGATGGACTGTCTATCCGCGGTTGTGAACGTAATTGTGACTGAGTGTGCCGGATCCGCTCATCGGATGCCTTTTTTACCGCTATTTTCATATCCGCAAGTATTTCTTGAGATGATAAGGGTGGTTCGTTCCTCAACAATTGTTGGATTTTGGGAACGTGAGGGTCCGCCCCGTACTGCAAGGAAGTGAGAAAGATATAGGAGAGGAAACTGTTGGGGTCTTCGTTCCTGACGCCCCATTGGAAGCCACGGTGCATAGCTTCAAGGAGACTCTCCCATAGAGTGCGACCATCGCACGTAGTGTTCAGATCCATTCCATGATCAAGCAGAATGCGGTATTGTATGCTGCGTGGTAGCATCGAATCACCCCAGGACAACTGGGGATGCGACAATATTTGGCACACACCTGAGAACCATCCTAGATCGGAATTGTCATTGTAGACCAAGGAAAGGTCCGCGTCGTGTCGTAAGAATTCGCTCAAGAGTTTGTGATGGCCTTCCTGCGAGGCACTGGGTAAATGGGGAGAGTCTCGCGCTATCATCCGTAGGAATTCCTTGGTCAAGGTTGTGCCCTGTATTGGGGCATTGGGATCAAGACCATGGCTGAACAGATATCGGAGATACCTTAACGTATTCAGCGGACTCTCGTTCGAGTCAGAAACTTTGCGATTGAGTATCTCCACCCAGTTCCCATTTGCCAATTTCACATCTACGCCCTTTTCGAGGAAAAGCTTCAGGACGGTCAAGCATTGCTCTGAATGGACGCCGTCCATCAAGCTCATTACTTGGCTTGCAAATATGGTCCAGCTAGATGCGCCATCCACGACAGCATTAGGGTCTGCTCCAAGTCCAAACAAAACTTTCACTAAATGCGGTGAAGGCACGTCGCCAATTCGGCGTGAAGTGGATGGGTTGAGCCTGTCGCTGGGTGGGCCTGACATGTCATGTTGGGGGGAGACGGCGTGTAAACACCAGTCGTATGTCTCACCGATGTCGACATCGACCGGGCACGCTATCGCGTGCTTGAGGATATGATCGAGGTCTAGCACGACACTGCTTGTGTGCATGCGATATATCAGATACTCTTCATGCCCGAGCGAAGCTGCAAACCGCAACATGAAGCAATCCAGTCCGCACATTATATGGGATGGTCTTGTGCGCCCATTTTCCAGCTCTGCCTGGTCAATAACCTCAAAACAATGAGATGTATCACCCGTTTCGAGAGCACCTGCACTAGCCAGCTCCACCGCTAGCTTCAGTGTAGTAGTGCACGTATGCTCATCGATAAACTTCGATTCGGCGATCAATGCGCGGCTTATAGCAATCAAGGTGTTCGGCTCCTGAGAGGCCCACACATGAAGTTTGTCCCTCATGCGCTTCGTAGCTAGGAAGTCACTCAAGGTACGGTGTAAGAAGTCCACTTTAGTCTGAGCCCCAATATCATCCGCGGAGGCAGTCTCTAAGAGACCTTTAAATCGACCGTTGAGCCTCCGCTGGGTCAGAGAAGCACGTTCTTGGATCTCAGAGTGTCGCCACGTCTTGCTGGGCATATCGAACCCGAAAGTAGTGTTTCCGTCGTCCAGGAAGTAGTAATGGATCAACTTCAAGGGATGTGGGCTCCGCATGGCGGCAAGAAAGGTACCAGCCATCCGGCTTCGATAGATGTCTTCTACAGATATAAGTATCTGCTCAAAGAACTCTTCCAGATCTGAAGGCATCGTACGTAAGCGTTCTCGTAATATGGGGATAGGGTCCTCGTTGTCGATGCCGTTGCGCAGCGATCTGACTACCAGGCGAACCCAGAGGAAAACTCCTTGCGCTCGCTCTCCAATATCTTGTACCAGACTCCGAAGGAGGGTTGGTTCGGATCTCATGTAGGAACCATGCGATAGCAGATTTTCCCGTGCAAACAGCTCGATATCTGGCCTGGTAAACTCGTGAACTCGAAGCATTTGTGGAGTGGCCTTTCCAAATGAATCTTGGAAACAGTTCCACGGCCTACTTGAAAGACACATTTTGACGTTCGGAGCCGTGGATAGGTCTCGCAATGTGTCAATTACGTCCCAGCTGTCCCCATAGTACTCGTCCAGGCCGTCTATATGGAAGTAGAACCTGGTATTCATAGCGGGTTGTGAGCGGAACAAGGCGAATGACCTTTGTAACTCAGGAAGGGTCCATGGGCTCAGTGATGTGATTTCATAAGCTTGAGGTTGAGATTGGGATTGAGGCCCAGCATCCCACCTTTCCGGACATAATTTTGGAGCCAACTCGGGGCAAACTTGAAGTATATGATGTAGGAGTGTTTGGAGAAGTCCTTCCAAGGACTTTTGCATCTGCTGTCCTGGTAACCAAAAGTAAAAACACACTTTGGCCAACGGTGCATCTCCGGACCAAACACGAAGATGTCGTATAGTCTGTTCATGGTCAAAGAGATATTTCATCAATGTTGACTTTCCGGAACCTGTTGAGGCGGTAAGTTAAGGAGTGACGGACTGTGAGCCACTCGGACCCACCTGGCTTTCCGGTGATCCAGTAGATCCCACTTCCACACCGCAGCCATTGAGTGAACCCCGTATCTGGCTGTGAAGAAGACGACTGAAATGCACGAGCGCGGTATATCCAAGAGAAGGTTCTTCGATGCGCATCTTTGATGGCGCTTTGTCTTGTGTGCATGGACTCGTAGCGAAGACTGGCGATGATCCTATGACAATGGGAGGCCTGATGAACGTTATAAGAAAGCAGAGAAAATCTATCATGCAATGCCTTCCAGAAACTATCGCCGTGGAGTCCCAGAACATGGGTCTGAGTAGCTTGGAGCTGAGAGGCCAAGGCTTGAATCTGTGCAGTGATGTCTAAGGCTACCTGAAGATTCTTCTGTTCCAATTCTTTGAACATTTGGATGAGCTGGATTTGACTGTCACTATTTTCATCGTTTCATAAGTAATGACGACGCGTATCGAATAGTATGACGAGACGTTACCTTGTGTCAGACACCAGATGCATGGTTACCTGGTCTCTGAGCAGTGCCAGCCTTGCCTTCAATTCTTCGATGTGTGCTTTTCCCCATACAGACTTGAGAGCTTTCCGAAAGCTCTGCCACCTTCTTGGTGTATCTTCAGGTCCCAATACATTATGCTTGCGCTTGAGTGCCGCAAGCGCATCCAAAAGTTCTTTGGCAACGGTGTCGCATCGAGTCGCGATCTCAGATAGCCGTGTAGACGATGAGCCTGTAGTTGAATTTATCTTTTTACTGAAAATCCTAATGTCCCGAGACACCATGTTGAGGTCGACATTCTCGTCCAATGTGCCCGATGCGGACTGATGCAATTCCCTCGTCTTCGACACAAGAACAAAGCTGAAAGAGATAAATTGGATGATGTTTCCGGCAAGACCAATGGCAGCAAGACTTTCTGCCATTCTGATATTGTTCTTTTTGAAGTGAATCGCAAAGGCGTGTCAGACCGGGACGCGGCCAACCATAATTATAGTTCGAAGCGGTACAGCTGCGCAGCCGTTCCAGGCCCCACCATCATCAGGCTGAGGGCTGTGTTGATGTGTGGCGATCCGTGATTCGATGCGAGGACGACAGCGGTGACACGACATGCTGCGCGCATTTCGGCAAGGCAGAATGATGCTCTCATGAAGCATCGTTCCGGTGAGGTGTGGCGGTTTTGGCTGGTGACGATTGGAGGCTACGAGCTCTGGTGCTTGGCGATGTCCAGGTGCGCCTGCCTCCACACCGGCAAGGCACACGCAGACGGCAAGAACACGACTCCACGACATCCTTTGAGTGGAGCTGACATCAAAACAATATTAGTGGCAATGCAATGCATGCGACAAATTACCTAGAGATGATCCATTAGGTAGGGAAGCGAAATGTACATTGCGGGGTTTGACATTGGCTCACCACAGCCTATTAGCATCGCTCGAGCCCCTACGCTTGCGAAGCATTCCTGATGCTAAGCAGACTGCACACGTGAGATTGCGATGCGCCAGCCTCATCTTCCCGCCACCATGCAACTCTTCGCTTCCTATACTCTGCCCCTCAACCACTCGCCCGCCCGCTTAGCCATATTCACAGCCTCCTGGTTAAACCCCAGAAGATGGCCAAGAAGGAGAATGTCATGTGGGACATTCTCTTCAATATCCAATTGCAAATCATTGCCTGCCTCCTTCATCTTCTCCGCCCACTCCACAATATCAAAGTATAGCACCTCTCCGCTGCCCGTGTTCACAAACATGGGCACCCCAGTCTTGAACGTCCGATTCTTCTGCGACACATAAGGCTGCGACAGCACCTTGTCCCCACCCTCGCCCGCATACGCGGTTGTGCCCCACGCCGTGAAGGGCGGCGAGAT